CTGTACCCATATTAAAGGTTAACATTCTGAAAAATGTTAAATATAGCTAAAGCACCCCTGATACAACTGTCCTGAAGTTATACATTCCAATGTGTGATTCTGTACTTAAACCACACATGTATGTATATGTAAACAGGTTTGATTATACAACAAAATTTATGTAAGTGGTATCTTGACTGGATATATCTTTTGCAAATTTTTTTCAGTTAAAATCATGAAATTGGCAGTATCTGTAGTGTTTAAGGGACTGATTTATGTCCCTTAGAATCTCTCTCTCAAAAGTCCTAAAAGTTCTTCTCCTAGGGAAATAATATAAAGTGAGAAAGTAGACAAGTGAAAGTTAAGCATATACACCTAAGAACCACCACTATTAAATATAAAAAAAAGGATTGTTACTGTACATAAATCTTTAGCCTTCAATTGAGTTTTCAGCTCTTAATGCATCATTGTAGAATTGAATGTTAAGAGTTACACTCTTACTGCCTGTTAATTGCCACCTTGACTTTTCATTTTTGTTATATCTTGCTTTGGATTTAGTAAATTTCTTGGGATGTAGTTTCACATGGATAACCTAATTTGGGAGCTATGGCGGCGGCGGGGGGGGGGGAGGGAGNGTTAATGATGTCACCAAGTGATTGTATTAGAGATTTACAAAGCTAAATTTTAAAGTTTTACCATATCTTAATCCTGGGTTAGATTTCAGTTGAGACTATCAAATGAACAGATTGAGTTTGTTACAAGTATTCTTTTGGTACATTTCAGTTGTGCTTTGGTAGAGAGAGAGAGAGAGTGTGTGTGTGTGTGAGTGAGTGAAGCAAAAGGAAAACTAATCTGAGAACAGCTGTGTGATCAAAGCATGTATATGTTGCACAAAAGGTAGATGTTAAGGTCAAGTTACTCTGAGCTAGTACATCCTAAAGTTTCTGGTTGTGCATAAGCTTTATGATGCTTTGAATGCAATTCTGATCAGGATAATGGTAGCTTTGCACAGAAAGTGATCAATTAGTGAAGCTTGCTGTCTTTCAGAGATTGAAATATCATTGCATTGCCTTACCTTTTAAAATATTGTTACTGAAGAGTTCTGTTATTAAAAAATAAGGATATTTGCGCTTGTCTTGGTTGGTACAGGATGTTGCACTAGTTTATTGGACACCTGGTGAATATTAGGAAACCCATTTATATCAAGGTACACTTTTACTGTTCAGTAGACAGCCATTATATTTCATACTGGTAGCTTCATTTTTAAATTATGAGTTTTTTCAAATAAATGGAAAAGGACTGAAAACGACTGTACCCATATTAAAGGTTAACATTCTGAAAAATGTTAAATATAGCTAAAGCACCCCTGA